CGCGCCCCCTCCCGCGCCCTCCCGGCCGGGTCGGCGCCCGCAGCCTCCTCACCCGCGCGGCCCGCGTCAGGCTCAGGTCCTTCATGACCTCCTCGAAGGCCGCCGTCTCCTCCGCCTGCTTCTGATTGTGCAGCGCGATCTTCTCGCTGAATTTCCGCGGATTGTTCGAAGTCGCCATCTTCTCGCCGCCGCCTCCTCCTCCTCCTCCTCCTCCACCTCCTCCTCGCCCCCCCACTCGCCCGCGCCACCGCGCAGGCGTCGGCCGGGCCCACGAGCGGCCAGCAGAGCGCAGGCGTACCGGCGGTGTGAGCGCGGCGCAGGCGCACGGGAGCAGCGCGCGGCGCGGGGGCGAGAGCGCATGTGCGCGCCTCGGGGGCGCGCTCCGGACGGACGGGGCGGGGGAGCGGGGAAGAGTGGGAACTTGGGCGCAGGCGCAATGATCCGCCTCCCGGCCCGCTGGACAGCGGCCGCTTGGCTGATGACAAAATTGGCGGAGGGACCCCCAAGAGGGAGACATCCTAACCCATGTCGTCCCAATTCACAAGGGTGGGCCAGGCACACCCCACCGACAGGCAGCAAGCGCCCCTAGGCTGAGCCTGGGCGCGGACCCCGAGCTGTGGCTGCAGTTCGGGCTGTTGGTCGGTCACGCATGTATGCATTCATTCAACCTCATTCGTTCCCCACACGTGTGTGAAGCGCCTGCTGTGTGCCGGGTCAACTGGGGTGCGCGTGAACGAGCAGACGTGGTCCCGTCCTTCCAGGATGCACATGGGAGCAACACCCTCGAAGGGACCAAGAAGACCGCTGGTGGGCGGCTTGAGAGCGCCATGGGACCACCAGTCAGGGAAGCGGGGGCCCTCAGCCTCAGCCCGCGATCCGCAGACGCAGAATCTTCCCGCACACCTTCCTTTTCCCTCCGCCTCACGTACTGCAGCCCTGAGGACTGGGAGACAGAGGCTCAGCCGCCCCCACCCCCGCCCCCGCCTGCTTTCCCAGCCCCGGTCTTGAGCCAGGATTTCGGCCTTGCCGGGGTGCCAACGGAAGGATCCAGGGATCCCACCCACAGGCGCCAGTGCTGGAGGCGGAGTCTCCCCACGGCAGGGAAGGAACCTCTAGCTGTACGCCTGCAAGCAGAGGGACCCCAGCCACCAATAAGAACCAGATTCCGGGGCTGTGGGGATTGCAGAGTGGGAGGCAGGAAGGGCTGCCGGGAATACGGGGGGGGGGGACGCGGTCTCAGATTCATTTTATCCTAGAGTTAGGGATGGTGGAGGGGTGCTGACGGAGATTGTAGGGGACACCAACTTTTTCCAAGCATGCTTTTACTCACGTTTTACGAGCTTAATAAAATGTGCATATTAAATACATGTGCATACACAGATTTTCATTTGGAGTGGCTTGGGCATTTGCCACTGCCCTAGTTTAGATTTCTTGTTCATATGGCTTCCAGCATTTGCATGCACTTCTTTTATTTCCTAATAAGCATCTTCCCTTCCCTACCCTTTCTAGTGTCAAGAACCGTCCTTCCGGGAACACCCGGGACTTTCAGTACCTGAGACGTGGACCAAACCGGCCTGAAGTGGAAGGACCCCGCCCTAAAGTGAAATGCTTGACCAATCACCGCAGCCCAATGCTACACCCATCATGATTGGCTCCAACCAGGCACGTGACCGACTCCCCCCAATGAGATGCAATTCTGCAACTTTTGTTTGAACCGTGGGAAAGAGAAGACCCTTTCTTTGGCCATCTTCTAAAGGCTGAGAGGAGACTGCACTGCTAGAGGTCGTCACGTGAAGAGGAGAGACCTGCACAGAAAAAAACGGAGCCAAAGGTAGTAATGCCTGGGCAATTTAGCAAAACCTCATCTCAAAACAAAAACTAAAAATAAACTAAGTGGGGTGGCACACATTGTCATCCCACTACTCAGGAGGCTGAGGCAGGAGGATTGCAAGTTTGAGCCTACCTTTGACAACTTAGTAACTTAGTGAGACACTGTCTCGAAATAAAAAATGGGGAAGGGGAGCCTGGAGATATAGCGCAGTGTGAATTATAGCCCTGGGTTCAATGCCCAATGCAAAAATAAATGAGTAAGGGCTGGAGATTTAGCTCAGTGGTAGACCATTTGCCTAGTATTTGCCTAGCCTCATCCTAATACTCCAAAAAAGAAAAAAAGAAAAAAAAGTGCTAAGCCGGGCGTGGTGGCGCATGCCCATAATCCCAGTACTCAGGAGGCTGAGGCAGGAGGATTGTTGCGAGTTTGAGGCCAGCCTGGGCTACAAAGTGAGCTCAAGGCCAGCCTGAACTGCGTAGTGAGACCCTGTCTCAAAAGGACAAAAGAAAAAAAAAGTGCAAGGAGACATTATCTGAGCTCCCGGATCAATCTGCTTCTGCAGCTCTAAACCCCTGTCTGCCTTTTCCATTATGAGCCAGAAATTTATTCCCCTACTGAGCAAATTTAGTTAACATTCCCTTCCTGACTCTGGCACTAAGACCACAGCTCCATGTGTCAAGGGTGGGGCTGGGCATGCTGCATACAGGGGTGCTGGTTCTGGCCAACCCCTCATGTCTGAGAGGACACAGGGGACAGGACAAGGACAGCAGCTGCTCAGAGCAAGGTAAGCAAGTCCAGGAGCCAGGCCTGGACCTCACCTGACTGCGCAGCTTGGGTTCTTCCCCATACCAGGGGCTGTAAGGCTTAAATGAAGGTGGCTCGTGTCAGCTGCCTCGCCCATGAGAAGCGTCTGGCTGGCTGGGGAGCTGGTGCACACCTGTAATCCTGGCTACTCGGGTGGATGAGGCAGGAGGATCGCCAACTTCAGGCCAAGCCTAAGCAACTTAGCAAGAAAAAAAAAGGAGAGGCTAAAGCACCCCTCCTGCACCCCTTTCACCCCACTGCAGTCACCAGGGCAGGTCACTGGTCACCAGAACCTCAGTGGTCAGTGGAAGTGCCAGCCTGGTCAGTGTGTGATGCCAGCGCACCGACCCTGGCTCTCCTTTTGCTCCCCTGACCCTGGCGGGGAGCGGGTGACAGGGGTCAGAATCTAGGCCTGAGGTTTCCACTTCCTCCCTCCCTCTCTCCTTCCTCCCTTCCTTCCTCCTTCCCCCCTCTTCTTCCTCACAGGAAGTCACTGCTGCTCACAGCACCAAGGAGCCCCCTGAGGTCTGGGGGGACCCTGCTCCTGCTGCCCCACTCCCCTGCAGGTCTCCAAGCACTGTCCCTCTACAAGTGCCCATGCCTGGCACCCTCCCCTTGGACTGAGCTGAGTTTAAAGGCTGGCAGCATCTTTCTCCTCTTTTTCCTCTTCCCTAAAGGGTATGAGAACTTGGGGGCTCGTTTTACACCCACCTGAGCACTTTCTATTTCCCTAGGCACAGCACAAAAGTGGTCCCTGAGAGTTTAAAAACTCCTGCTCATCCTTTAAAGCCCAAATGTTCCATTCTTCCGGAAGACCAACCTGGTATCCAGGGAGAGCTGGGTCCCTCTGCCTGGGCTCACTCTCCTTGGGTCACTCCTGGCTGGCCCTGACCCCTGAGGGCCTGGAGGGGCCAAGTGCTGAAGAGCTTCCCTCAAGTTACACAGCACGTCTTGCAAACCACAGCCGGATCTAGTTGTGTCTCCTCTGTTTCGTAGCTCAGGCTGGCTCATCTGTTCCCTGCCAACTTCCCCAGCAGCACCCCACCTTCCATGGCTCACCCACTCCACTCCAGCCTCACCACATCCTGCCCCGGGACCTTTGCATGGCCCACCCTGCTCCCCAGACTGCCCTTTGCCCTGCACCTGCACCCCAGCAAGCCTCTAAGGCACATTATGGAGAAGCCGGAACTCAGGAGAGTTCCTGTGTGGTCCAGGCCTCATCCATTGTCCTCCCGGAGCCTTGCTGTCCTCTCTGATACGTGTACAAAATGGCACTTGTTGGAGCGGGCCCTCGGGCAGATTAAACCACCTGTGCGAAACATTCAGCTTAGCAGCTGCTTCACCAGTTCTCCTTGTAAGGGACTTGGGCTCTCTGGGGGACCTGCGTCTGGGCTGGTCTGGGCTACAGGCACAGAAGCGTCCCCCGTCACACACAGGAGCTTGGCCAGACTGCAGCTCAGTCGGGAGCACTTCCCCTTCCGGCCCCGGCACCGCCGCCAAACAGAAACAAGCACAAGCCCAGCACTGCGATGCTCACCTGAGATCCCAGCGCTCCAGGAGGCTGGGTCAGGAGGGTTGTAACTTGGAGCCCCCTCTGACCAACTTACCAAGACCCTGCCTCATAATTTAAAAGCAAAAGGCTGGGTGTCTTGGTGCACACTTGTAATCCCAGCACCGCAGAGGCTGAGGCAGGAAGATCGAGGCCGGCCTGAACTACATGCCCAGACACTGTCTCAGGAAAAAAAAAAAAGGAAACAACAGAAAAGACTGGGGAGGCCGGGCGTGGTGGCACACGCCTGTAATCCCAGCACTCAGGAGACTGAGGCAGGAAGATCGCTGCAAGTTCGAGACCAGCCTGGCCTACAAAGTGAGCTCAAGGCCAGCCTGAACTGCATAGCAAGATCTTGTCTCAAAGACAGAAAAAAAAAGACTGGGGATGCAGCTGTGTGGAGGCCCTGGGTTCCATCCCATTGCCACCCCCAAAAACGCAGACGTGAAGCCCACCCCGGTGGCCAAGCAGCGGGTACGAGAGCCCAGTGGGGTGGAAGGTGAGACAGGATGGGGCACAGGCTACCTCCAGTGACAGCCGTAGTGACCTAAGGGACACCTGGGCCCTGCTTCTGACAACACCCACAAAGCCGTGTGTGTCCTGAAACCCGGCTGAGCCCAGCGGACTCCTTGACCTAGGCCCTCCCCTGATGAACCAAGCCCAGGACGCCACGGCCCCACCTACCTGCGCAAAGGAAGTGCCCTGAGGGAGGAGTGAAGCTGGCTTTTCTCTCCTCTTTTTTCCTTCTCCCCCAAGTGCTTGGCGGGTGCTCTCCCCTCAGCCCACCCCCGCCCTCCCCGTCTTCATCCAGACAGGATCTCCCTAGGTTGCCCAGGCTGGCCTTGAACTTGCAATTCCCCCGCCTCAGCCTCCTGAGTAGCTGAGGGCGCAAGTGCACACCGCCTGGTTTGGCGCTGACACCTACTGTTTTCTCTGCATGGTTTCCAACTTTCCTGCCGCTTCTGAGAGATACCGGTTTTCTAGCACGTGCTTGGTCTATTGACATTGGCACCTGTTTCTTGCAAATAAAAACCCTGACTCACATACAAGGCAGAGTCACAATGATAACCTCAAGTGTTTGGCTGCAAGTATCAGAGCATCTTAGTGGGGCAGGCATTGTTATTTCTCATCACAAGGAGTCTGGAGGTCAGGGGCCAGGACGCAACTGGTGTCCTTGTGAGTTCAGGGACCTGAGAAGAGAACATCTCCGTTCCTCTCTTAACTTACTCTTCATGGCCACAAGATGGCTGCAGAAGCTCCTGGCATTGTCTCCACAGAGGAAGCAGTAAGGGAGAGAAAGGGCAACAAGGCCTGTCCCTTGTCCAAAAACAGCCGACCCCTTAAAGCTTGCTGGCCTGAGCTGGGAAACGTGCCCAGATGGAAAACAACCCCAGCAAAAGGCCCAGCCAACAAAGGCTCAGGGGAATCTTAAGTCTGCCCCCAAGGCTGGGCACAGCGCTGCTGGAACCAGTTCAGGTTCTGTGGGTGAGCTGGGGCACACGTGGGGGAACGGCTAGGTGCCCTCCTTCCTGGGGCCTGCACCTGGATGGTGCCCAGGGGAACTGGCTTTCTCCTCCTCGCCTGCCCAACCAGGGCCTCTGGTGCCACCGCTCAAGACCGGCACCCGGCCTGGGAAGGCCCGGTTGAGGCTCCAGAACACGGCGCGAGGCAGGACTTGGCGCTGACTGCTGGCGGACGCCACCTCACCGGCTCCCCGGAGGGCCCTCCCACTCGCTGGCTGTGAGGCCCCCGAGTCGCACTTGGCCCCCTCTCGGGACGGCGTTTTCCCACAGCCGGAGCCCAGGTGCGGAGGAAGGCTCCCCAGGAGCAGGGCCAGGCCTGGCAGGGAGGCTCGGCCGCAGGAAGCAGCGGCCCCGGGGAGGAGCGGGCTCCAGGCCCCTGGGAGACTCGGGCCGGTGAGAGTGCTTGTGTGCACATGCGTGTGTGAGTGAGCAGGCATGCAACCCACTGCCGTGTGTGCACAAGTGAGCCCGGCGCTCTGCACGGCCACATGCACGCGCGTGGTGCCGCGCACGCACGCAGGTGTGCTCATGGGCGTGTGCACGCAGGCATGTTCCTCCCTTCTCAGAAGCACACAGACCTTCACAAAGTGAACGTTCAAGCCAGTTTCTGCTAAATTAAAAACAGCTTTTTCGTGTTTAAAGTTTACAATACAAAAAATAATTTTCCTTTCTTCCGGGGGTGGGGCGGGGGCCGAGGACATTCCATGGGCCGCCGTGCAGTTCTGCGCGGTCGGTGGGGCGACGCCCCCCACCCGGACTGCACCCCTGCCAGCTCATCGGGGACAAGATGTTCCAAGGTGTGAGCTGATGGGGGACTTGCAGCTGGCAGAGGCCCCTCTGCCCCCCTGGTGGGCCGAGCCTGCAGCAGGAAGCCTGCTTTTTGGGAGAGGGGATAGATAGCGTGCTGTGCTGAGGCCCCAGGAAAGGACCCAGCTTTGTGAAGCCCAGAGCCAGGCTCCCTGCGGCTCCCAATCAGGTTCCCACCGGGGCTGCTCAGCCGAGGCCCGGAGGCCTGGAGGCCGCTGGAGGTCGGGCACTGCCCCCCAGCATGCAGGCCAAGCGGGCTCACACTGCAAGCAGAGCGCCACCCTGGGGACTCCCGGAGGAGCTCTCGGACCCTGACGGACTTGAGGACCAGGTCCCTGGGTCTCGTCTCCCACAGCCCCGTGCTCAGCACCTCGGCCTGAGACTGAGGGGCTGCAGACGGACCTGCTGCGGGGGCCGGAGACGCTCCCCAGGCCCACAAGACCACCAGCCCCAGCCTGGCCTGGCCTGCCTCCTGGCGCCCACGTGGACAGCCTGGCAGACGCGGCTGCAGGACCCCTGGACATCGGGAGCGCAGGCCCGGCTCCCCTGCGGCCAGGAGAGGAACCCCAGACACGGAGGACACCGCCAATCTGTGAGCAATCGGCCAAGCTGCCCGGGCTCAGCGCCGGCCGCTCCATCTTTCCACCATAACATTTTTATTAAATAAAAGGAGACACTGAGAGGCGACGCTGGCGGAGGCACGAGGTTAATCCTTTACACCGTGAGCGGTCGCGCAAACACGACATCCATCGTTCGTCAGCAGCGAGAGAGACACTTCAAGCTGCCCCTAGAGTACAGATCTCATTTCGAAGACAGCAGTGCTGCCTCCTTAAAAAAAACAACGTAAAACAAAGCAGAAAGGAGAGGTTTCGAGGTTTGGAGCGCAAAACGCGTGTGGCCACAGAAGCCACACAGCCTGGGAGGGAGAGGCCTCGCCCGGCCTGCGCAGGTCCCAGGTGGCCCAGCCCACAGTGCCCACCTGACGTGGGAGGGGCCGGGGGCCCGAGGCCCTCCAACTTGGGGCAGGGACACCTCAGACCTCGAGCCCCACAGGAGGTTTGGCCCTGCGGTCTCAGGGCTCTCAGAGTGGGGGGCAGGAGAGGCGGGGCCCCCCCGGCAGCGAGCGCCCGGGGGGCAGACACGTCCCGGTCCACACCGCTCCTCATCCTGGCCGTCCGCACACCACGCAGTGGGTGAGCTCATTTCAAAGCACAGGCACGCGGGAGCCAGGAAGGGGTGCGCGGCTCACAGCTTAAGGCTGGGCGGGGCTGGGTAAGAAGGCAGGCAGCGGGGCAGAGCCCTGACAGTGACTGCCGGGGCGACCCCAGCGCCCACTGCCAGGACTCCAGGGCGGTGAGGCAGCCGCCCGGGAGAACACAAGGTGCCACGCCGGGATCCGGTGGGCCGGGAGGGACGCAGGGACTGGAGCAGGGGGACCCCTCCAGGCTGCAGCTGAGCCAGCCCGGGCAGCGCCCAGGTCCTGCACCGCTGGGACGCGCAACCTGGCGGAGGTCCCGGGTCACCAGCGCTACCTCCTGGTACCAGCCCGGGGCAGCAGGACGGGGGCACAGGCAATGCCCGCGAAGGACTCAGGGAAGTGCAGGTCCCGCTCCCATTCGTCCGTCTCGGTGTTGTACACCTGCACGATGCCCGTGACGTTGTTGAGGCGCCAGTTATAGCCGCCAACGATGTAGATCTTCCGCTCCAGCAGGCAGCAGCCGGCCTCGGACTGGCCGGCCCGCATGGGCGTCACGCTGGTCCACTGGTCCGTCTCGGGCACGTAGTACTCCACGGCCAGCACATCAAAGCAGCGGTCCACATGGTCCATGCGGCCCCCTAGCGCGTAGATGCGGCCACCAGCGCCCACCATGGCGTGCAGCACACGGGGCTCGCTCATGGGGGCCTTGAACTCCCACTGGTCTGCCACGGGGTCATAGCAGTGCAGCGCCTTCTTGTCCTCCACCGAGATGCCGTACCCCCCCGAGATGTAGAGGCGGCCCCCTGAGGAGGCGCCGGCATGGCCCCAGGTGCGGCGCTTCAGCGAGCAGGCGTAGCCCCACTCATTGCGCCGCGGGCAGTAGCGCTCCACGGACGCCAGGCTGCCGGCGCGGTTTCGGCCGCCAGTGGCGTACACCATGCCGCACAGCACGTTCAGCTGGAACTGGATGCGGCTCTCCTGCATGGCCTGCAGCCGCAGCCAGCGGTTCAGGTGCGGGTCGTAACGGTAGCAGGCGTCCACCGCGCCCTCGCCGCTGCGGTACTGCAGGTGCTGGCCGCCGGCCACATACACGAAGTTGTCCAGCACGGCCACACACGTGTGGCTGCACCCCACGTCCATCTCCGTGAGCTCACGGAAGTGGCGGGCGCCCGGCTCAGGCAGCTGGTACACCTTGCTGCTGACGGAGCGGTCGCTGTCCGTGTAGGGCGTGCCACCGAAGGTGACCAGCGAGGGCACGTCAGAGCGCACGGCGGTGCGTGGCGACTGCATCTCGTGCTGCCGGAAGGGCAGCACCTGGTAGTTGAAGGCCTCCAGCAGGTACTGGCGGCACAGCACGTCCTCCACCATGATGTCCAGGGTCTGCACACTATCCACCAGCTCCGAGGACTGCATGAGCGGGAAGCGAATGTGGCACAGCACGTGGCTGGCACGCGGCCGCCGGGCCGGGTCGTGCTGCAGCCAGCGGACGGCAGCGCGGAACAAGTCGATCTCGGCGCAGCTCTGCAGCCGGTTGCTCTGCAGGAAGAAGACCAGGCGCTCGAGCGGCAGGCGCAGGAAGTCCTCCTCCTCGGCGATCTGCAGGAAGTGGCGGAAGGTGAAGGTGTCCACTGACTCTCGCAGTGAGGCCAGGCTGAAGGTGGTGGCCATCTGGCCGATATTGAGGCAGGTCTCCACGCTCATGGCCGCCTTGAGGAACTCCTCACACAGCTCCACCACCGGCAGCATCTGCAGGAACACGGCGGCGCCCAGCACGTCCTGCACGCAGTCCAGGTCCAGCGTCACCTCGGCACTATAGGCAAAGTCAATGATGTGCCGCAGTCCACGGGCCGACACTCCCTTCAGCTCAATGACGTCCTGGCTCGCCTCCCGCATGCCGCCCGTGAACATGGCCCTGTGGGGTGGAAACACAGGCTATGGGCTGGGGTGGAGCCCAGGGGTGTCAGGGTGCCAGGGACAGCCTGGCCTTGGGGTACAGGATGCAGGGCGTACCCCACAAGAGGGGGGAAACGTGCAAGAGAGAAACACAGATGGGGACGTGACACTGGAGCGGAACCCAGGGCCTTCACAGTGAGCTACATCTGCAGCCCTTTTTGTTTTTTATTTTGAGACAGGGTCTCACTAAGTTGCCCAGGCTAGACTGAAACTTGTCATCCTCCTGCCTCAGCCTCCCAGTGTGCCTGGATGATGGGTGTGTGCTGCTGCACCTAGAGGAAGAGAGAGAGAGAGAGAGGGAGGGAGGGAGGGAGGGAGGGAGGGGAGAGAGAGAGAGAGAGAGAGAGAAAAAGGACGGACGTTCTGACAGACGGAAGGAAAGAAAGATTTTACTCCACCCTCAGGCGTGCAACTTCCTACAACCCTGCCTCCCTGCTCGCTTGCAGCACAAACCTGTCAATCACTGGCGCAGAGCCACAGGGCAGGGCCAGGCAGTGCAGCTTCCAGGGTGGGGAGCGGGGACTCAGGTCAAGCGCTGCCCACCGAGTCTCCCACTTGCTACCTGGGCAGGCGGACCCTGCCTCCCTGGCCTGGGTCTCTGCAACCATGGGGACAGGGAAGTGCTGAGGGTCCTCAGGAGTGGGGTGCCTGCTGGGGGCTGTGCTGGCATTAGAGAGAGGCCCAGGAGGACAGGAAGGGCCCCACGCACCCCATGACAGCCTAGCTGTCCCCGCGCCGCTTTGCTCTGAGCGCAGTGCCAGTGCGGCACCGGCCCAGGGCCAGGGGCGCCAAAGGAGGGCAGTGCGGAGGCTCGGGTTCCAGGCTCTGGCCCCCAGGGACATGGGGAGGACCCAGTGCTCGCTCGGAGGCCGGGGGTGGCTCTTCCCACAGTGCGGCTGATGCCCACACTGACTTCTTTTTTGTTTTTGCTTTTGAACCCAGGGCTTTCACACTGAACTCCATCTCCAGCCCTTCTTCATTTTTTATTTTAAGGCAAAATCTCACTAAGCCACTAAATTTCCCAGGCTGGGCTTGAACTTGCAATCCCCCGGTCTTGGCCTCCCAGAGCACCAGGGTTATAGCCATGCACCACCACACCTGCCCGATTCACACCAACTCTTCCTGCCATCCAAGGGCCTTCCATGATGCTGCCTGCACGGGAGGCTGTCCCCTGCCCACTGTGGGGCACATGTCCTGCCTTGGTGGTGCCAAGCTCAGGGACACAGTGGGAGGACAGCTGTGAGGGTGCCACAGGCGCCCCTGTCCTGCCCCTGCCTGTCGCCTCACATCTTCGGGTACGTGATGAAGACACGCAGCGGGCTGTGGGCGACGGGAGGGAGCTTTGCCTTTTAAGGCCTCGCCGGCTGCAGTGCCAGCACGGGGGAGCCTTTAAAGGGCATTGCTGGCTGGGCTGGCCCACCCGTCCCCAAATCCGAAATAAAAATAGCAGCAGCGCCCCAGTTGGCTTGGCTGCCGCAGCTCCCCAGAACAACCTTGCTGAGCCCACAAGGCGGGCAGCCGGGCCTTGGGGCATGCATGCTGGGTGGGGTGGTCAGCCGGTCATCGAAGGAGTGAGGGAACAGCTCCAGCGCCAGGACAGCCCACAGCTGGCAAGGGGAACTTCCCCACCCACCAGTTCCAGGTGACCCTCCCTTCCAGTCAGCCACTGCATGGGAAAGGCGGACAGACCCATATGCCCACCGAGGCTGTGGCCACCATGCAAGGCACGGGAACAGAGCCCAACACACAGGTGTCGGTAAGAGCCGGGCTCACCGTGGTTCGGAGGCCCCCCCCACCTTTTGGGCTTTAGGTATCCTGAGTATGGATGCCAGGCCGGATCCCCAAGGCTGAGACCACTGCCTAGCATACAGTAGGTATGGAATAAAGACTCTGGGAGGCTGAAGCAGGAGGGTCACAAGTTCAAGCCCAGCCTGGACAACATAGCAACTAGTAAGACCTTGTCTCAAAATAAAAAATAAATAGGACTGGGGATGTAGCTCAATGCAAAGGTCCCAAGTTCAATCCCTAGTACGGCTATTAAAAAAAAAAAAAAAAAAAAGACTTCAAGTGAACGTCCTGCCAAGCCCTGCCGCTGCAGCCCAAGCAATGCTGCCGGGTGCTGCTGAGCAGGTGCTCACAGCAGCTGTCTGCCAAGCACGTTCTGCCCCGTGTGTGACAGCAAAGGAGAGCTCAGCAGGTCCACAAGACCAGAGAGGCCAGCATGACCCTGTCCCTCCCCGGGGTCCCCTGCTGCCACCCCCACGCCCTGCAAGGCGCTTACCGGAAGTAGTCGCTGCAGGCAGCCAGGACCACCTTGTGCACGTGGAAGGCCTCTCTGTTGATGGTGAGCACGACGTCCAGCAGCTGGCCCTGCGCACGGAGGGCAGCCAGGCCCTGCAGGAGGCTGGTGCTGTGGCTGGGCGCTGAGAAGGTGCACTTGAGGGCCCCGTGCTTATCAGCCATGCTGCGGGGACAGCAGAGGTGGGACACGGCTCAGAGGCAGGCGCTTCTGACACACAGACAGCGGGGGACAGTAGGAGATGCGGGGTGGAGATGGGGAAATCTCAGTGTGCACAGGGTCTCCTTTTGGGGTGATGAAATGCTCTGGAACCGGCCAGAGAGGAAGCCGCCTGACACTGCAGATACACCGAATGCTGCTGACTGTCCACTTCACAACAGCTTGGAGCTGGGCGGGACGGTGCAGGCCTGTCAGCTCAGCACTCTGGGAGGCTGAGGCAGGAGGACCACAGGTTTATACTCAGCCCGGGGAACTAGCAAGTTAGCAAGACCCTGTCTCAAAATAAGGAGTAAACAAGGGCAGGGGATGCAACTCAGTGTCAAGGCACTGGCTTTCATCCCCAGCACCAAAAAATGAAAAATAAAAACCCGGCACATGAAATCCCTTTCAGGTCCTGTGTAAACACTGCCCACCCCCCCGCCCCACAGGGTCCCCCATGCCGGGATCCCCAGCCCAGCCCCCACCCAGCCAGGCCACAGCCGCGCCCCCAGTACCGCGCTCTCCCTGAGACCTGTGGCCCCCTCGGACGACGCATGGCCACAGAGAGGGCCAGGAATGTGGGCACTGGTCCTTCCAAGAACGTACGGGAGGGGATGGGGGCTCCTGGCCCCCTGGCCTGCCAGCTGCAAACAATGCCAGGATTTTAGAGCGGGTGGCCGCGCGAGGCACACATTGGCATGCACTCCAGAAGTGGCTATGCTCAGAGGCCCCTGCCCCCTCACAGCCCTCGGAAGACCCTCAGAAAGGGTGGCCAGGCCAAGCAGGTGCCTGTGGTCCAGCTCTGCCTGCCGGAAGTAGGGGACCCAGCGAGGGGGCCATGGTGCAGGAAGCTGCAAGTCCCTCGGCAGGTAGGGCCCAGTGCATGGCCACCTGGACGGGCAAGCAATGCTGGGGTGCCAGGAGGCTGCCAAACCATCCTGGAGTCCTGGGGCAGCAGTGCACAATGCTGGGGTGCGGGGTGCTGCTGGCCAGCCACAGAGCCTTCCTGCTGACTGAGGAGGAAGGGCAAGCTCGGGCTCCAGGCAGAGCCGCAGACTCTGGCTTGGCCCCACCGGAGCGCTGCCCGCCTGGCCAGGCATGCTGCCTCGGCTCCTCCAGCCTCCAAGCCCCCGACAGCCTCAACGTCCTGAGGGTCGCAAAGAGGACAGTGGAGGTCCCGGGTCCACCTTAATCAGGCTGCCCTGTGGCTGCAGAGCCTGGCTGCCCCCGTCCCCCGACCCCTGCTCAGCCGCTGGGCAGCTGGGACACTGTGAGAACAAAGCAGTCCTGCACTCAGGGGAGCCAGGCCAGAACAGACCAGTCACCCAGAATCAGGCGCGTACAGGGGCCACCAGCAGTCAAGGACATCTCGGCCAGTAGGGGACAATGGTCAAATGAGCCACAGGGCCACACTGTAGACCTCCTGACCCTGAGGTGAGGGTCCTCACCTCGGCCCATCATCCACTCACTCATTCATGCCAGCACTCTGGGGGCTGGGGATTTAGCTCAGCGGCAAAGTGCCTGCCTGGCAAGCGCAAGGTTGAGAGTTTGGTTCCTGGTACTGGAGAAAAACCAAAAAAAAAAAAAAAAAACCAAACAAACATGCCAGCACTCTGCTCATGGGGCTGGGCCTGCCCTGCAGCGCTCCCAGCTCCTTGTAAGGGAGGGGGACAGACACCAACGGAAACAGACCGCATGGAGATAACCACTGGGTGCTCCAAGCACCTGCTCGGAGGGGACACTTAGGAGGAGTGGCCAGAGCTTGATCAGAGGTGGGGGGCAAGGACAGAAGAGGGGACAGGACGGGACAGGATGGGATGGGACAGGACGGGGGAAAGTCGGAACACCCGAGCACACTGCGTAAGACCCAAAAGCCCTGAGACACACATGGAGCCATGGCGTGGGCATCCCTGCAGCCCTCCCTGGGAGAACAGGCGTCTGTTAAGATGCAGTGGACACACAGGGACTTGGAAGGGACCCCAGAGGTCGGCACCCCGACACTGCCCCTCCCGGCTGCGCGAGCGCCCCTGCCACCTGTCCCCAGGGCCGGGAAGAGGATGCTTGAAGCTGGAGCTTCCCACAGGGAAGGGTGCTGAGCGAGCCCCAGCCTCTCGCCTCTTGCGGAAGCCTTGCCTCACAGATCCCCATGGCCCGGCCAGCCTCTGCCACTGCTTCCACCTCTCTGTCCCCCAGGGCTGGAGCAGACCAGGCAGTGTGGGAGGACCTCTGGGTCTCCTCTGTGCCTGCAGGGCAGGGGCACCTGTGCGGTCTCAACCGGAAGAGAGGTTCCCACCAGGCAGCTGCACCACGAGGCCACTCAGAGACCCAGGCTGGGCCGCAGGCCTCCCTCACAGGCCCTGCAGTTACACGTGCCGTCCCTGCCTTCCAGGTCCCCAGGGAACCCCGACACCCGTGCCTGGGAAGGCTCCTGCCCACCTCTCCAGTCTCCACTGTCCACTACGGAGAGCAGCTCAGGGAGGGAAGGATAGGCCCTTCACCCTTCCGGGCCTGTGGCCTCTGCCCACAGCAAGCACCAGGAACTCAGCACAGGACAACCTCGAGGGAAGAGGCCATCACAGGAAAGGTGGAGGAGCAGGCAGAGGACCAAGGGCGGCTTCACACCGGGCTGTGCGTGCTCACAGCGTCCTGATGGGGACGGGAGCAGGACGAGCCCGAGGAGGACAGTGTGGCAGAGCTGGTCGTGCTCTAAAGCCCCAGCCCTCTGCCCAGAGACTGCCTCTGAGACTGATGTGACACAGCGTCCCCCAGCATCCACGTGGAGTGGGCACCAAGACCCTAGATGCTCAGGCGCCTTCCGTGAAGTGGTGCGGTGTTGGCATGGAGCCTGCGCCAGCCCCCAGGGACTAAACCAGCCCTCTGTGAGAACGACACCTCACCCAGGGTAAATGCTAAGGAAGGGCGGCAGCAAGGCAGCGCTCAGGGAGTAACAACAGAAAGAAGTCCGTACCTGTGCGGTACAGACGCGACTTCCTTTGCCAGCACTATACTGTTGATCAGGCTGGGTGAACTGGACCTGCAGGTGTGCGGGCCAGGGCCAAATGTGCCACCTCCACCTCGGGCAGAAGGGGACCAAGCAACGCACTCAGCCGGTGGGGGGGGGGTCACAGTAACAACAGCCAGCAGGGCAGCCGCTGCTGAGCCTCCATCCCTACAGGGGAGGAACTCACGCCCTGTGTGCCAAGAGCACATCCCGGGGGCAGAGACGCGGGAAGCGGTGCTGCCCTCGGGGACAACAGAGAGGAAGGGGCCTAGGCTTTCCTGCCCGTGCCGCTCTCTTCTCTGGAAAGCAGGGGACTGGAGAGGCGGGCAGGGGCTTTCCCCGGCATGGTGTCAGGGTTCCCTGGGTTCTCGGGCAGCGAAGTAACTAGGAGGTCCTCTGAGACAGGCATGGAAGCCAGGCTGGGGTCTCTGCGGCCAGCAGTCTGGGCCACGCCAGCTCGGGTGACCTGGGAACTCAGGGACACTCAATCACACAGGCCTTGGCTATAAGGTGGGGGCAGATGTCCCTGCCCTCGGGACTGCGACTGTGTTGCCACTAGCGTGTGACAACTGGGCACTCCAGGAACCCACAGTTCCTCTCCAGGAGTCGGGACAGCCCTGCCCAGGAGACAGGCCTGGCTGAACCAGGAGGGGAGCAGGCAGCCCTGCCCTCCACCCCTTTGTGTCCCAGGCCACAGACACCCCACAAGTGGCGTCCTTCCCTGGCCTACGGAAGACACCCCCGGCCCTGGAGCCCCTATCACCCCTGGGAGCTCGCGGAGGAGGAGGCCACAGTGGCAGGCGCCCCACGGCAGCAGAGAGATGCAGCCCAGGCTAAGGTGGGCAAGAGTAGAGGGCAGCCTGGCTGATGACTAAGGAGGGGAAGGACCCGTCACTCAGGCTGGACCCAGACAGGGGGCGGCTGGCCCCCAGGAAAGCAGTAGCCCTCAGCCAGTCCAAGTCTCCAGACGGCCACTCAAGTCACGGTCACCCGCACGTGAGTCATCGCAGCCAGTGCGTCAGCAGCCGGGTCAGGGTGTCCCTGGAGGCCGCTCGCCCCGGCTGTGCCCTTGGCCTGGACATGGCCTCTGAGTGGCCGCACGCCCCCACCATCCTCGTTATGCCTTGCCCCTATGTACCCCAGCATGGCTGTCGGGCACCCCGTGGGGCACTGGGTAGGGTGAGTGTCCCAGGGACACCTATGTTAGGGACTTGCATCCTCCTAGGGTGGCCTGGTCTTAAGTCTGCTCTGGAGACAGCAAGATGGATGCAGAGCATCCTCGCAGGAGAGGTCACAGGCCGCTCGGAGCCACACTGGCTGTGGCCAGTGTCCCAGTGACCAGGCTGGGTTGGGGACCAGGAGCAGGGGCCACGGGGCTGCTTCTGGGGCCAGCAGCGGAGTGGGGCCGAGCACCTGCCGGGGTGGGCGCCCCTCCTCTGGCCCCGGCCCAGCTGCCGGCCTTGTCCCTGCGGTCGCTTCCCAGCCGGCAAGAAAGATTTGAAGCCCCAGATCATTCTTCTCATTGGAATGTCCAAAAAGGGAGGAAAAAAAAAAAGGCAAGAACAAGAAGAATTTCATGGAAACATTTCTTTGGGGCTTTGTTAAAGCCTTTCCCACCCCCACGCGGAGCGGGCGGCCAGCGCGTCTGTGAGCGCCCCGCACACACTGTTCTGAGCGCAGGCTCGCTTTCCCGGCGCTGAGACACTTCCACTTTCCAAGCCAACTTCAGGTTTATTGTCCATGTGGCTGGGCGTGGCGCAGCGGCACAGCACAGCTGGCTGGCTCACACCCCGGCCGGCTGCTGCGAGGCCCGGCCCGCCCAGAGTCCCCGTGCACGCAGGCAGAGACGGTGGAACGGTGGTGCCCTCTCCAGCTCTGCCCCTGTCGGCAGCTGGAGCACCGCCAAGGCCTAATGTAGAGTCTCATCTGAGACCCAGGGAGAAGGGACCCAGACCTGGAGGGCGGG